ACCCCCACAGCCGCCCCTGCATCCGGGGACATGTTCTTTTGAACCTTGTTCTCCACTCCTCGGAAGGCCTTACTGCCCTGAGACTATCCTCTCGGGTTCGTCCCCTCCGAGCCCTTGTTTTGACCGGTTCAGCCTCCTGGGGTCACCCCCTCTCCGTCCCCGGAGCCCTTATTGCGGCTGGATCAGCTCCCTGAGAACACCGTGTCCCTGTCCCCGAAGCCCTTACATCGACCAGCACACTTACCTCTGTTACTGTGGTGGATACCCTTCAGCCCTGGTAACCAGCCCGGTGACCTCCCCTCCCCTCACTCATCGGCCCCTGGGAACCACCCCGGTGACTTCTCCTCCTGTCACTCATGTGCCGTTGGAAACTGGCCCCATGATTTCACCTCCTGTCACTCATCAGCACCCAGGAACCAGCCCGGGGACCTCCCGTCCGGTCACTCATGTCACCTTGGAAACTGGTCCCATAATTTCACCTGTTTTCACTCATGAGCCCCCTAGAACTGGTCCCGTGATTTCCTCTTCCATCACTCATGGATCCCAGGGAACTTGCCCCATGATTTCACCTCCTCTTACTCATAGGCCCTTGGGAACTGGCCTCATGATTTCACCTCCCCTTGCTCACCGGCCCATGGAAACTAGACCTATAGTTTCCCCACCCCTTTCTCACAGGGTTTTGCAAACTGGGCCCATGATCACCCCTCCACTCTCTCCTTGGTCCTCAGGGAGAAGTTATAATGACCCTCCTCTTTCCCAAGCATCTTCCCCACCCACCGGCAGGTTTTACCATGGCCACCATAAGCCTCCAGACTCTTGTGAACCTAAACCACAGCTTGACCCACCCCGTGGGAAAAATTACTGTGGCTCCCCACTTTCTTCTCAGGCAGGCACATCTGGCTGTCCCAGCTCACCTCCAGAAGGCTCTTATCACTATTCCCATCTTCCCCCAGAGACCTGCATACCTGCCCCTGGGAGCCCTTGTTGTGCCATCCGCCTACCCCCTGGGAGTACTGGTTCTCCTTGCTTACCCCAGTCCCAGGCTTCTAGGAAGCCTTGCTTTGAGTCCTTGTTCTCCTGGGAGACTGGTGGGAGCTCTTACCTCTTCGTAACCCCAGTCGCTATGATTTCTGGTCCCCCTTGCCCCCAGGAACCACCTCTTCCCCTGTCCTCCCCTTGTCCTTATTCTGCCTTCTTTCCTTCACCCCTGAGCAACCAGTTTATATCTCCACCCCAGTCACCCCCCCGCAGAAGCTATAACGACCCTCCTCTGCCTACCCCAGCTTGCCCCCAAGTGAAGTCCCCCAAATCCTCAGAGTTAAGACAGGCACGTGCTCCCCACAGAAGTCGCTCCCTGGTCACCCCTCCCCGGCAAACTCCTCCTGACCAGCCCAGGCCCCCTAAGGCCAGCACCTCTCCTCCACCTCCCTCCGGCCCTTCTGGTCTCTCAGGTGCTTTTTGTACAGTGACATCCGTTACAACTTGCTCAAATTCTTGCCCTAAAGAACTTCCCCAAGGGACTACCTTACCTACTGTGGTCCCTAGAATCCTCAAAACTGTTATCCCCACTTCCCTTCCCCTCCGCCTTCCTTGTGATTCTGTCTCACCCAATAGTTATGCTCAGAGAAGCCCCCATGGACCCCTCATAAGATCCCCCTGCAGTACCCATGTATATTCTGTGGTTCCCTCCACCCCCGATCCCTGCCCACTCTCTGGTTCCCTCAATCAATCCACACGCCCCCCTCAGTGTCATAAGCAACCCATGGTGCCCCCCTGTGGCACCTATAGCACTCCCAGGGGCCCACCCCAACCCCATTGCCAGCCTGTGGCACCTCCTTGTTCTACCCACATCTATTCTTGTATCCCTTTGAGAACACCCTTTGACCCCCAAAGTTTACCTGTTGCCCCCCGAGCCCGAGGCCGACCTGATGCTATGCCCTGTGGCCTGCATGTCTACTCTGTGGCTTCTCGAGGCTCCTGCAAAGAGTCCTCCCAGATTCCCTACAGCTGTCCTTTGCCTTCATCCAAAAGTTCCAGCTGTAGTTCAACTATTATTATTAGTGAATACCAGAGTAGTGACAGCCAGAGCAAGAATACCCACCAAAGTGGAAGTCGGAGCCAAAGTGAGAGTCCCCACCGCCCTAGCAGAAGTCGGAGTGAAAGCGAGAGTTTCCATCCTAGTAGAAGTCAGAGCCGGAGCAAGAGTCCCCCTCAAAATGAAAGTTGGAGCCAGAGCGATAGTCCCTACCCAAGCGTAAATCAGGATCAGAACGAGAGTCTTCAACTTAGTGGAAATCGGGGCCAGAGTGAGAGTCTTCAACGTAGCAAAAGTCGGAGCCGAAGCAAGAGTCCTCACAATGGCAGAAGTCGGGGCCAGAGCAAGAGTGCCCCCCGTAGAGGAAGTCGGAGTCGAAGCAAGAGTCCCCGCCACAGCAGAAGTCATGGTCGGAGCAAGAGTCCCCGCCATAGCAGGAAATGAGAGCCAGAGCTAGAGTTCTGACCAAACCAAAAATCCAGGCCAGAGCAAAAGTCACAGACAGTAACAAGACTGCCAGCCACAGTGGGTGTTCCAGCTGTGGCAACCAGGGCCAACTTGTGGACTTCTCAGCTGAAGTCTTCGTTTTCCTTTTAATCTACTTTTATGCTCTTTAAGCCTGACTCATGTTCCTCTCTGCTACCCCCATAGCAGTCATGCTAGAAGTCTCCATTTTGGTTCACACCTCAAGGTTTCTGTGTGCTCTCCTTATCCCACCTTCCTGGGGTCTGGGAACTCTCCCCAAATAACCCTCAACCCTGTGATTCTGAGCATTATGGTGTCAGTCTCTGCATGACCGTAGGTAAGTTACCCTCATCTCTCCATCAAATGTGGAAGGTTGATATTTTTTCTCTCCCACCGAGCTATCTGTTGTGGTGCTCACATAAGCTAGGAGACATGAAAGTGCTTTGGAAAATGGAAGAACTGTTCAGAGAGAAAGCCTCTTTTGTTTTTAAGCCTGAGACTTCCCCCAGAGCCTCTATAGTTTCTTCCACCCTTCTGTAGACTCCTCTCAAGAGTCCTCTCCTGAGCTCCCGTTCTCTTAAGTTCCTCTTACTCCAAGGCCCTTTCTTGGTGACCCCAACATGCTATTAAGAGAGCTACAGCTTCCTTTGTCTCACAAGCCTGAGATAGAAAGGCCAGCTCTCCACTGCTTTTCTTGCCCACACTTCTCTGGTAGGCAGAGGCAGGATGCAAAGGCGGGAGTGAGCACTAGCTGGATCTACATTTGCCCCAGGGCTCTCAGGTATTGGTGGGGTTGGGCAGTTGGGGTAGAGGCAAGACTGGAAGACCAATAAGCCTGTTCTTTCCCTTTTAGGCTGCCACAGAGCCGAAATTTCCTGCCACTCGACTGGCTCTGCAGAATTTTGACATGACCTACAGTGTGCAGTTTGGGGATCTTTGGCCATCAATCCGGGTCAGTCTCCTCTCAGAGCAGAAGTATGGTGCATTGGTCAATAACTTTGCTGCCTGGGATCATGTGAGTGCTGAGCTGGCACAGCTGAGTGCCAGGGACTTTGTGAATGAAGCCATCTGCCACAGGGAACGGGAGCCAGAAAGTGGCCAGACTGCAGCTCCCTCCCCAGCCTCCTCGGCCTACAGTCCGCACAGTCCCAATCTTCGATGCTTCACTTTCCCCAGAGGGGATGTCAGCCGTTTCCCTCCTGCCAGGTAGGATCTGGAGCCCTGGCTGGGGCTGTCCTGAGCGGCTGCTGGAAGTAGACAGGAAGTGACCCAGCTCCTGCCCCCTTTAATAAGGATCATAATATTGCTAGTATTTACTGAGTGCTTATACATGCTAGACATTTTTCTAAGTGCTGTACCTATGTGATATCTCCTTTTGTTCTGTCAACATGTTACTGAACCAAGTGGGTTCACCTCCTGGTGAGTAAAATAAAACTCTACACCAGTGGAAGTTGTCTCACAAAGTAAAGTATATTTGCGGCAAGTAGGAGACTATGAGTTATCATTTGCAAAGTCATGGTGTCCCTGAACAAAGGGAAGCAGGACCTTTATTTTGGATGGGTAATGAACATTCAAAAGGGAGAGGCAGGCTCAATTGGAAAACACACTTCCACATACACTGCAGGTTATGGTAATGAGGCCTAAACTCCTCCAGGAGAGAATTTAGCATTAAAAATAAGGCAAAGGTCATGGGCATAGCTCTTGTGGTGAGGCTTGGTCTAGTTCAGGGTGCTTGGTGGTTGCATCTCCTTCATATAACAAAAGGGAAAAAAACAACTTGGAAAAACAGTTAAATGCTTCCAAACCCACCTTAGGTTTCCCAAGGCACCTAGCCAGTGACAAACAGCCCTCTGAGGTAGGTAATATTATTGTTCCTCTTTTACATTTGAGGAAACTGAGGTGCAGAGAAGTTAAGGTACTTATGTTACCGAACAAGAAGGAGGTTCACTCATTCATCGCACAGCAAGCCAATCTCTGACACCGGGTGCAGTGGAAGAAAGTAGGAATTTTATTGCAAAGTGCTGAGCGAGGAGAAGGGGCAGCTAATGCTGTAATCCTGAACTCCCCAAAAAGCTACAAGCAAGGTGTTTTTTTTTTCCTTTTTTTTATCGTGAAATTTTTGTTGTACATTACTGTTTGTCAGTCACCATATAAATGCATCCCTCCACCCCTTGTGCCCACCCCCCACCCCCCTTGCCCCTGGTAACCACCACACAGTTCTATCTGTCCGTGTGTTGGTTTATCTTCCACATATGAGTGAAATCATGCAGTGTTTGTCTTTCTCTTTCTGGCTTATTTTGCTTAACATAATACCCTCCAGGTCCATCCATGTTGTTGCAAATGGGACGATTTTGTCTTTTTTATGGCTGAGTAGTATTCCATGGTATATATATACCACATCTTCTTTATCCAATCATCAATCGAGGGACACTTCGGTTGTTTCCCTGTCTTGGCTATAGTGAATAATGCTGCAGTGAACATAGGGGTGCATAAGCCTCTTTGGATTGTTGATTTCAGGTTCGTTGGGTAGATAGTAGTGGGATAGCTGGATCATAAGGTATTTCTATTTTTAATTTTTTGAGGAATCTGCATACTGTTTTCCGTAAAGGCTGCACCAGTTTGCATTCCCACCAGCAGTGGATTAGGGTTCCCGTTTCTCCACAGCCTCTCCAGCATTTGTTGTTTTTTGTCTGGGTGATTATAGTCATTGTAACGAGTGTAAGGTGATATCTTAGTGTAGGGTTTTTTTTTTTTTTTGTGAGGAAGATCAGCCCTGGGCTAACATCCATGCTAATCCTCCTCTTTTTGCTGAGGAAGACTGGCTCTGAGCTAACATCTCTTGCCAATCCTCCTCCTTTTTTTTCACCCCCAAAGCCCCAGTAGATAGTTGTATGTCGTAGTTGCACATCCTTCTAGTTGCTGTATGTGGGACGCGGCCTCAGCATGGCCGGAGAAGCGGTGCATCGGTGCACACCCGGGATCCGAACCCAG